TCGCTTTCTCAAAACCACATAAAACCATATTATATTGACATAAAAAAAGAATAAAACAAAACACTGAAATCAAGATGTGTCTTGATGCATTGCACGAGTACCCTTCCAGTATATATATATATATATATATACATATAAAATATATTAGTAAAATTATGTAGCGGGTACGGGGCAGGTCGTGGGATACGCTACCTGGCCCCGGCCCCGGCCCCGGCCCCAACCCCGGTTTGAGTCTACCGGGGATCCCTGGCCCCGTTCCCGGGTCCCTTTTAGCGGGGAATCCCCTTCCTCGTTCTGGTCGGGTGAGCCGGGTTCCCCACTGAGTTGGGGCAAATCACCATCCCTAGGTTGAAGAAGCAACAATTCCACCTATACTTTTTGTGAGGTTACAATGGCAGTTTATGGTTCATTATATTTAGGTCATCAAGAGGAAACATGTACAAAAGATTATGTTCTGGTACATGAGGATAAGGAGTAAGACCAAGGATATTACACATCAGTAGTCAGAAAAAACCAAGGGAACATTGCAATGATGGTTATTTGTATTCTATTTTAGGCCATAAATGCACTGTGAGGAGACTGAGGAGTTGCTTACTTGTAAAGGCGGTAGGGAGAACTAGTAAATAAATAAATTCTAGCAAGTGAAACTTTGTCTGCTCAATTCCTTAATACTTTCCCTTATGTTTTTACATAATGAGTTTATTCTTAATAAGGTGCATTATCAGAACTTGTGATTGTGTAGACTTCATCATGAAGAAAGCTACAATATGTGAACTGTTATTTGTCATGGACATGAGGTGCTTTTGTCCTTCAAGTGTTTTGTTGAAAATGGAAATTTTAGAAACTGGACATAACTACTATTTACATATAAAGGTATGCCTTTACCAGAATGTTAATAAAGGTTTCTATGCCTGCTTGTCTATCTCTAGCTTAGTTGTGGGAAAATCGGGATTCTGCTTCCCTCTCTAGGGCCTTGGTTGATGGGGCTTCCATTTTTATTATATCTGTTATTTTGTCCTTTTTTGTTCATTTCTTAATGTATGCAACTATTTGTTTCTGCAGGAAGCTCGATTACCACTGCAAATATGGGTCACTGAAAAAGCAAATGGCTTGTTAAATGGAGAAACTGGAATAAATGGTAATTGTTTTATCATTACCATCTTACCTGCATATCTCTTTTAATTCTACTTCCAGAGTCGATGCTTTAGCTTTACCTTTGTGGTTGGTTTTGGCCATCTAAGGTTGACATACAGATTATAGCTTTTTCTTCTACAAAAGAACGTGCATGGCTGCAGAGATATATGCATGGGCCGATGTTTATTTTCCTTTATTTTAGTTGTTATTTACATTTATTTCAAGATAGGCTCTTCATTTGCTTGGAGAGATATGTGGACTTGAAGTGATATCTTGATCGTGTAGAGTTCCCTTCTCATGAAACTGTACAGGTGTTGCAATTGTCTCTTCAGAAATTGCTTGTGTAGGGTTAGATACTTTCTCTGGATACAATTCAAAATATTGTGCATCACTTGTCAAGTAAAGCTACCATGATAAGAGAATATCATATCCTATTGGTATATCTATCTATGGATCTACCATCACCGTGAAAATTCATCCTTTGGGTCTCATGCTTTCGTTGCTAATAGAAGAACCTGCTGTTAAGATCATTTATTTACTTATATACAAAGATTACGTGCAAAGCATGAATAGTAGTTGCATAGTCTTGATTGAAAGCAACAGAAAGTCCCCGGGGATGGCAGCGATTGTTTAACTACATGGAATGATTCAATGTAAAAATATGTTTGCAGTAGAAAGTGATTGTTGGTGAAGAGATGTCGATTACCCTTGGTAATATGATTTTGATGCATTTTTTCTCATTAAAGGATGTTTGTAAGAATTAAAGCTTAGTGTGAGTATTCTTTTAATGTGTTTATTTCAATTCAGAGCTTTACAGTCTTCATTGCTGATAAATGAGGGAAATTTTGCTGATTCTTCAAGTAAAAGTTACAGAACAGCTATTGACTGAACTTGAAGAATTCGGAGGCACTCCTGCTATACAACATGCTTGGTCAAATGCAACTCATCTTGAATCTGTAGTGCAGAGCACAGCAGGAGCTCGATTGCTATAGTAGAATGACAATTTCTGAGAAGATGAACTGATTGAAGAGAGAACTAAGCAAAAGATGACACTATATCTTTAATCTGATTAATTCTTAACAAATTAGCATTTACAATTTGTGAGGGCTGTTCACACTCATGTTGATAAACTTCATTTGTATACCTTTGGTGGCAAGAAGAACAAGAAGTCTGCAACTCCAAGGGCCGGTGAGGGGTTAGGAAGCTTCAAGGGGATGCCATTTTGTTTCTGATGCCTTACGTTGACTCCCGGGTGTTGTCTAAATTGAGGGAGGGTCCTCCCAACACTTTAGTGGATAAATCTTGGGCCATAAGTGTAAGAACGCGTTGATAGTTGTCAACTAAATAAAAATGTAGATATTAAATTGTAAATAAAGGAATTTTAAGTATGTTGTATACAAAGTCATCACTACACAGTGCCGTGTGCTTCATGTGTAAGCCTATGATAATCCTTATGCCTAGGGTAGCTATTGTTTAGAAGGCTAGTTGTTGCCATAGTTAACAAAGTGTATATCATGGGTGAATTCAAACTTGCTGAACCCCATTTCTAATCAAATAATTTACTTGTTACCCTTGCAACCAAAAGAAACAATTAGGTGGTGCAGTCCAATAGTAGTTTTGAAAAGTTAAACTCCCATAACTTCTAAGGCTAACTTCTTTTGTATGTTGCACTAAAATAAATCTATCTTTGCTGCTTCCTGCAATCATGGCTGACCTCTACGTCTCCTTACGATCTCCTCTTTGTACAAGTCTTCCCTTCTTTTGGTGGTCCAGTGTTCTCCCCCACAACTGGCACCTTACAGAGCCTCCCTTCAAGCTGTTATGTGATTCCCAGTCATGAAAGACTGTTGAATCTCACCATTTTATTCACCCAATCTTACATCATCATTAACATACCTAACAATTTTCCATTCATATATTGATGCTGCCACACTCCATAATTGCACTTTGTATGCTAATTTGTTTAGCTTAATCTAAAACCTTTAGATTCTAAGGTGTTTCTGCAACCTAACTTTGTATTAGCACATAGTTTCATCAATCAACAAAGAACATTGAACAACACCATTATACATGGTATATCATTGATGTTACCCTATCATAATAAGGGAAGCGTCTTTATCATTGTTGGATGCCTTCACACTGAATAATACCATCCAATACTGCATCCTCCTGGTCAGGCATGTTTTAAATAATGTCCACAGCTGGGGGTCTTCACGTGAACATCCTCTTTTATCCCCAAACCTTACCTTTGTGTGGGATATACTGGGTTCATTTGGTTTGGTTTTTTATACTTTCTAGGGACTTTCTTTTCTCAAACGCCTATCAGATTGGCACCCTATTATATGGCTCACCTATAAACAACATTATCAAATGCTTTTTTATCCCTTATGCCTCTTAAAATCTTCCCAGCATAAATCCAAAAATGATTTGTCCACTTTATAATCTTTTAATTTATGCTCAATAATATGCTCTGCACCTATAATTCATGGCTCAAAGGATTGATCTTTGGATAGTTAATTCTTCTGTTGTTGTAGAATGGAACGTACAATTAATATTCCATTTTTACAATCAATTTTGCTACTTTCAAGCTTCTTTGGTGTTGTAAACACTAAAAGTTGCATCTTTCGAGCACAACAAATGAATTAGAAGCATGATAAGGATGTGTTCCAACATTTCAGGGATTGTTCCTGCTACACCTATTCTTTTGGATGTTTATTGGAAAGAGATGGATGCTGAGTCTGAATGGGTAAGCTGCAGATAACATCCCTTGGTGTAAACTCCTTTTTTCATTTTCCTGTTCTTTTGTCTTGCTATATACTATAGAAGATTTCTTCTTACCTTTTATAGGCCACCAGTAACGTGGTTAAACTCAAGCCTTTGTTAATTTGATTATGAAGCCTCACACTTGCACTTCACTGCAGGTTAGAGCTAATGAAACTTTTGATGGGGTAGAGGAAGGTTATGAAAGTTTTAGGGATGACACCTCTTCTGTCTCTTCCTCCAATCCAGCAAGGGGAAGTTTACAGAAAGCATTTGGCAGTTCATTGTCCTTGCAATCATCTGCAGCAAGATCGAGTAAGGATGTACAGTACCATGACCAGAGGTCCACCATATCTTCATATATGGCACTTCCTCGGCTGTCTGCAGCTGAGGTACTATACGGTTCTAGTGAGGGTAAGCTATTCTTGGGACACAAACGAATTACAAAGTTTAAATGCTTATATGATCCCTATTCTTGTGAGATTGTCATAGGGTTACTTTCAGCACATGTTTTGACATAGACTTAAATGCCACGGCGAAATGTTTATTATCGGCTTAAAATTGATGTATTGTGGAAGTCTGCCATTTCATTGATAAAATCTTTTTATTCAATATTTCAATTATGCAAGTGAATAAACTTCGAAAGTTGAGTGACTACAATTTATTTTTTCTGTTCAAGACTTGTGACAAGTAAGACTTGAGTTCTAAGTAAACTTGGTTTCCAAACAGATAATTTGTCACCTAAGAGATCCTCAGTAATCGTTCCCCCGAATCAGCAGCTAAGAAGTCCACAATCTCTCTCCATGGATGATGGATTGAGAGTCTCAACCGTCACAAGAACTGTCGAACCTGTTGCATGTAAGTGCTGCCGTTTCTTATTCTCCGATACTCAGGGCATCTCCAACAGATACTCTAAAATAGACATTTTATCAATTTGGAGATCTTTTGCTCCAATAGATGCTCTAAAATTTTCTCTACAATAGAGAAAACAAGAGAGAGAAGCTACAAATCTCCAAAGCTGGAGAAATCTCTAAAACTCATTATTGAGGAGAGAGAAATATTAATTTAATTGTTTCCATCAATGAGGTTGAATGTACCATTATTTTCTAAAAAAATTATATGGAGATGATGAATTTATAAAAAAAATAGCAACAATATATTTAACGTTGAAATCTTCAAATTAGAGAATCTGTTGGAGTTGTATATAAATTTTTTCAGAGATCTTAAGTTTTGGTTCTCTATTTTAGAGAAATTATAGATTATCTGTTGTAGATGCTCTTACACATCTAAAATCATCTGATTTGTATTTTTCCATCATATCATGCTTGCAATAATGGGGTTTAAAGTTTATACCTCAAAAATTAAGTTGCCACTAACGTTCTCTGCAGCAGAAGGCTTCATTCGAGGAAGATCGTACAACATTAGGCTAGATGACCAGGTTCTACTAAGGTTCTCACCCACAAAACCTGAATCAACTTATTACTTCGGTGATATGGTAATCTCAAACTATCTTCATTGGCATATGCTTTCTTTGGTTGATTTTATAATGCACATGGGGTACTTCTAATTACAGATAGGCGGAACTCTTACTTTTTTTCATGAGGAAGGAACCAGGAGATGCCTTGAGGTATTTCCATATTTAAGAAGCTATATAAATTATGTGATCAATGCTTCAAGTTGTTACTTGTTTGATTTGTTTGTTCCAGCTTTCAGTAACCTTGGAGTTGTCAGAGACCATAAGTCGTCGCTCTGCACATCCCTCTAGAAGACATTCCCCAACAATCACTAAGGTACTATTATTTTGAACTTTGATACAGTTCACTATTTAATAACTATAAATTTTAAAATGGTATCTCGGTATTGAAAGATGATTGCTTAGTCGGTCATCAAATTATGTTTAAATTTCTTTTACTTCTAGAGGGTTTCTGGAGGAACCATCAAGTATTCTCATATTCTTTGTGCATGTTTTTTTTCTACTTGTCCTTGTTTTTGTTTAAACGTAAACTATAAATGTAGGAAGTCAAAATATCTGTATGAAATGAGCCTCCTTGGAATATGCACAAACCACAAGGTAGATTGTTTATTAGCTACTTGAGCTTCTGTGTGAACCCCCATTCCCGACACCTTTAACCTCAAGCATTACTTGATGTAGGGAGTGGTGGAGTCATAACTAATACCAAAATACTCAACTTCTTGAAGCATAACGAAACATCATTGCGTTAAAATCATATCATACATTACAAATCTTCAAGGAATTACAATCCATAAGAAATCTTAGAATCCAATAGTTATGCATCCACTGTTTCTTTTCTTTTTCGCGTTCCTGTCTTGTGGTAAACATCATCTTATATAACAAATGGCTGCATTTAAAAATGGTCTCTGAAAAGGATTCCACAAGTGTAATCACTTGTGGACATTTTAGAGAGAGATCCTAAGCAATTAATATAGTTTGTCCATCTAAACCATAATGCTAAATAGTTTGGCTGAATATATGCAGATCCAGAGTGATCACCATGAGGTTGTTGCAGATTTGGTGCAAACCAGCGTTCTATTTTCAGTTCCAATGGATGGGCCAATGTCTTTTTCCACTAGACATGTCTCTGTGCAATGGGTGCTGCGGTTCGAATTCTTTACCACTCCAAAGAATGTAGATTGGAGCAGGTATGTCTTAACATAATTGCATACTTATTACTCCTGTATCCCTAAATAAGTGTCCACGTTTCTATTTTATTCTCCCAAAATAGGGTCCATATTTCTATTTCAATTTGTCCTCCCAAAATCAGTGTCCACTTCCATAAGTGTGTACATTCCAATGTACCCTTATGAGATGGAGAAAATTTCTTCCTCATTATTAAGGGTAAAATTGCATTTAGTTAATTACCAAGTGTAATAATTACACATTTCTAAAACTGTGTTCTTTTTTATTGTGGACATTTATTTTATGACAAATGGAGTAGTATCTTATGATAATTGTTAATAGTACTAGTAGCCACCCTAGTTAGATATGTTTTATTGTTTCCCACTTGGTCCATATGCCAATATTTAAGCGTGTGTTTAGGTTTGTCTAGTTCTTGTTTTGTAAACCATTGTGATATGGCATCTCCCAGCCATCACAAGCCGCCCCTTGCTGCCTTCATAACCACCTACACTTATTGAATGATACTCTCTCCATCCCAGAATAGATGTCTGCAGGGAAAATGGCACATAGTTTCAGGAATACATAATTATTGAACTTTTTAACTAACCAAATGACGATAAATGGTACACTAGTTATCGGACCTCCATCTCCACAAACTAAACTACTAATGCTCAGAGCGGATGGTTGGACACAACAAAACTGCCACTAGATGTTGAAGAAAAATGAAACCTAGAAATCTTTGTCCCACTAACAAGTTAATGGTCCTCTCAGCATGACAACAATAATTACTCGCAAGAGTTTTCGTTATGAGCCATAGACTCTCCTTTGGGGTGCGTTTGGCATGCGAGACAACGCCAGACAGAAAAGAACAGACAAAAACTTGTACCATGTTTGACAGAGACTGATTGAGACAAACATGCATTTTTTTGTCCCACAAAAATAGGTGGAACAAAAATCCGGAAGATGGGGCAAGATTGGTAAGTTACTAAACTATCAATGTCAAATTAAAACCCTAAAACCCTCCATAATAAAAATGCCTCCTTTTATGGTTGATCCCAATGAAAAAGATATAAACTGCCTCCTCTTGTGGTTAATCCCGATGAAAATGTGAAACGAGGCTAAATTCCAAAGAACTTGTGCATATAGGCTTCCATACCACTAACACTGCCTCAACACTTTACCTGCCCCCAACCCTAGCGTTATGTTCTGCACCGGGTTATGTGCATGCCAACTGTTGCACAGTTATATGTGCTTTTACAAAATGTGAAATTGAGTAAAAGAGCTCTTGGAAGGGAAACTACAGAATTTCAAAACTCAGGATCTGCAAGGAGAGCAAAGGTCAGTCTAGTTTGTAAAAGTTCCAGAATTAGAAAATGGACCAAGGAACTAGAAGACGTGGGTATTAATTTATGAAGAGGAACAATATGAAAATGGTTATAAAAAACAATTTGGGAAGTGAAAAATGTCCAAATTGTGTCTCGACTTTTCTGGGTCGAGTTTGCATACATCTTACCCCACCTCCAAATGGACCTTACCAGTTTTGTGTGGTTTATATCAGGAGACTTTCAGCAAACTTATTTGATCCCAAGTTGCATATCTTGGTTGTTAGTATCTTTCTGTGACCCACAACATTTTTATGCCTCTTGTTGTATGTAAATTGCATGATCAACTTAAAAGAGGGCTCTTGATATACTCCCTCCGTCTCAAAATAAGATTAAAAAACACAGTTTAAGAAATGTGTAATTATTACACTTCTCATATTTTACCCTTACTGAGAGAGGCATACCCTCTCTCTATCTCATCAACTCTTAAATATTCCTTGGTCGTAATTAAGAAATTTAATAAATTATAACTATCTAATTTTGAAAGTGGACACTTATTTTGGATTTTGGTACAGAGGGAGTACATATATCATTCTGATCATTCATTCTGATCATTATAGGTGTCACTACTAGGAAATTTTAAAAACTGGGTCACAAATAATGGTTGGTCTTCGTTCATGATTTTTATTTTTATTTTTACAACAGATTTGAGCATCCTCTTCTAATAGAAGGAAGAGACAAATGTGAATGGGTTCTTCCTATCACTGTGCACGCACCTCCATTCACGACGACAATCTCAAAAAATAGTAGAACTGAAAAGCCACCTTCGCTAGAACCATTGTGGGACCGCTCTTGATGGTAACTACCAACATCGTATCTCGACGTTTTGCAGATATGCTAAATAGTAATTTAGTTCGCAATAATGAGCTATTTTTGAAGAAAATGCAACAAAGTTTGGTTTAGTTTCTTTCTAGTGTAACAAAGAATTTCTTATTTTTTACCCATTTGACCGGTAATATACTCATTTTGTAGCATTGGATGACATGGATCCCTGTTTACGGAAGGCTTACGAAAAGGTTAAGCCTAAGTGGACGATAAACATGACATCCATGTTATAAAATGTTACTAGATCAACATGTTATAGCCCAAAATGTGTAAAAAGGAGGAAACTATGGTACTTGGTTGTATTCACATGGGAAGAAGAGTTATGTTACACCAAATATAACTAAACCCGAACTTTGTTGCATTTTACCATTTTTTTTGCATTTCTTGGAAGAATGATGGTTTGCTATAATAAAAAACTGATTCCATCAGTTCAAGACCGTGTTATTTAGGTGAATGACCTTTTGATGGATTTTTTAAATACATGACCTTCTGGGATTTAAAAAAGTCACAAAATGTTTCTTTCTTCGGAGCACAAGAGTGCTTCATTTATTTTAAAAAAAAAAACGTCAGAAAGTTTGTCTTTAAATAACCCGTCCAAAATGATAGCTTTTATTGATTATGCAACAGTGTGTGTGTGTATATATATACATGTGATATTTGTACATTTCATATTGTGCCAAATCTGCAGTAACATAAACGTGCAGTTGGTAGTAAGAGCACATCACCGGATGAAGAAATCGGCTACCATTTCACTTGGAAAACACAGAAAGAGTCGGTCTCGGTTTGTTTGTAAAGTTACGTTTGTCGGGTTTTCTCATGGTAATCGACAGAGCTCCATTGATGTTATTGGCGTAACGATGTTTCTTCATACATTCTTCGTTCAGGTTTCCGTTGTAAACATTTTATTATGAATTTCGGATTTTGGCAAAATTTATGGTTTTATAGTCACAGGTGTATTAATCGTCCCACATAAGTTTGGATATGTTGTTTGTTTTTTTGAAGTACATTGTTTTAAAAAATGAGCCTCGTTTCTTTTCTGGAGTGGTCCTTAAAATATGAAATGGTGTTGAACCTCTTTACAGTAGAGACACATATATTTCATAAAATTTTCACCCATCCATGATTTTTTATAATAAAAAACATTATAATAATTATAAGACGATAATTAGAAATTACAAGAATAAAAATAATAATTAATAATCGCAAACATAAAAGATAATTGAAACCAACGATGTTTTGAAAAAGACAATAACTAAAAAGCAACGACAATAAATCTATTCAATATTTTATAAGGAGAACGTTAATGGAATTCCTCACCTTTATTCAATCATTCATTTTTTTTGTCTTTTTTGTTGTTTTTATCTTTTATTTTTTTTCTTATATATATATATATATATATATTTAATTAATATAAGTTATTAATTAATTCTTTTTGTTTTTGTTTTTTTTCTTATTTATTTATATTATATTTCAATAAAAATGAATTATTAATAAATATATATTTCTTTTATATTATTTATATTAGGGAAAATTGCACTAAAATAGAACTAACTTTCACCTAATTCTTATTTTGGAGAACCAACTTTCAAAATCGTCATTTTGGGGAACCAACTTGCACCTGATTCCTATTTTAGGAAACCAACTTGCAAAATAATTATTGAAAAATAACTAAAATTCGTTTTTTTTCCAAAAAATTAATGCAATAAAATCTATTTTTCATTTCAAATCTCGTTTTTTTAATTCAGATATCAAATTGAACATTTTAAAAAAAAATCCAAATTACCACAATAAAAATTGTTTTTACTAATGCAAAAAAAAAAAATTTAATAAAAAAAAATTAATTGATGCAATAAAAAATAAATATTAAATATCACATTCAAGATTTTTATATCTAACCAATTACATCAATTAATTTTTTCTATTAAATTGATTTTTTTTTTTGCATTAGTAAAAAACAATTTTTATTGTGGTAATTTGGATATTTTTTTTAAATGTTCAATTTGATATCTGAATTAAAAAAAACGAGATTTGAAATGAAAAATAGATTTTATTGTATTAATTTTTGGAAAAAAAACGAATTTTAGTTATTTTTCTATAATTATTTTGCAAGTTGATTCCCCAAAATGACGATTTTGAAAGTTGGTTCCCCAAAATAGGAATCAGGTCCAAGTTGGTTCCCCAAAATGACGATTTTGAAAGTTGGTTCCCCAAAATAGGAATCAGGTGCAAGTTGGTTTCCCAAAATAACGATTTTAAAAGTTGGTTCCCTAAAATAGGAATTAGGTGAAAGTTGGTTCCATTTTGATGCAATTTTCCCTTTATATTATATAAATTATTAATAAACATTTCATTATATATGTTGAAGTTATTTTTGTTTTTTCTTTAATTTTTATTTAAATATAAACAAATACTTATTAATATAAATATTACTATTATTTTTTCTAAATAATTATATAATTATAAAAAATAAAACATAAAAAAAATGAGATTTGACATATAAATAAGACATAACATAATTTATATTACATTTTCACTTATTCTAAAATAACCTTATTACACGTAAAAGTTGCTGGTACTTATTCATTCGATCTAAATACGGGGTAGTCTATGCAGCAGTATACAAATATTATAAATGAAAAAAACGTGAAGTAATAATAGGGATCTGCCAAGTCTAGTTTCACATAATGGTTACAATTAACGTATCCAATTGCAAAAACAACATGTTGATACCACGGTAGCGGAGTAGACCTAAGCAGTAAATATGTTGAATAACCTGTAATGTCTATAACGTGTAACATCACATTATACTTTGAAGCAATGAGAACACCAATTTCAGACATTGTCATCTAGTGTTCAACCCAATTGAGGTTTATGTCTTATATGCGTCTAACTCTTCCATCAAGTTAAACCGAAATGTTGGTCATCCATCTTCATGAAGATGGAGGTGGACAACTATTACTTGGAATCCACAATTTCAATCATCTCTCACATCATGTACCTGTCTGATGTAAGGGTAAAACATTTCTGGAAGTTGATTAATATATGGATGTGCATTATAATTGTTGTTGAAGAAAGAATTGTGTCTTGCTGGTTCCTTGTTGCTTATTTCATTCAAGTCAACAAATGACGCGTTCGAACAACTACGTCTAAGGGGTCTTTTAGCTGTAAAAGAAGGATCAACATGAGTTGTAAAAGACAGATCAACCTTAGCTGTAAAAGACGGATCGATATGAGGTTTACTGAAAAAGTTTATACTTCAACGAGGGACGTCCACGAGTAGTCTTGTTAGCAACTGGTTCATGAACCCATGCTTTTGATGGATTGGTTATCTCTTTTATCTTAGAAAACTAAACGTACTAGATCTCGATTGTTTGTTAAAGAAGAAGAGGAGGAGGAAGAAGAAGAGGAGGAGGAGGAGAATGACTAATAGTGTTAGGGGTCAATGTAATATTATATATATATATATATATATATATATATATATATATATATATATAGGGGCCTAATCAAATGAGAACTAATTAGTTTTGTGGTAACTGTGAGAACCAATATTAACCACAAATCAATAGATAAATTAGAAAATTTATAATTTTGGCAATTTTAAATTAAAATTTTAATGTAAGGATATTTTTGGTATTTTAMAACTTTCCTCCCTCCTCTCTTCTCTCTCCGGCCACCGTCCTCCGG